ATGTTTGGCGGACATGTAAAAAAGCTAGAAAATGTGGAGTCCTTGGGTTCTCTGAGCATGGTTCTTTTCTTGCAAACGTTTCATTACCCAGCTAGGTAACATCTTCAGTGCTAAAATGGGATGGGGTTTGCCCTCTATTTATATACTGTGGCCTGGGTATTTCGATCTGGGTGTATTTGTCATCTCCATACTATTCAAAAGAGACAAAAGACCAGAAGATCGCCTCATCAGCAAGAGAAGGTTACCATAGGACACACAAGCAAGCAGCAAACAATACCCTAATCAAGGAACTACCAGAGGAGCAAAACAAAACCCTCACCCCCCCCCCCCAGCACTGGCAAGGCAGGCCACAGTATATAAATAGAGAGCAAACCCCATCCCATTTTAGCACTGAAGATGTTACCTAGCTGGGTAATGAAACGTTTGCAAGAAAAGAACCAAGCTCAGAGAACCCCAAGGACCCATACCAGTGTCCAGTTATGTCCTGTTTTTCTGCCATTCTTATTGGCTAGCCTATTCTTATTGGCTAGAATACAGTTATCTGTGTGTTAATTGGTAGTTAGGAGGAAGTGAGAGAAAAGAAGGCTTTGAGGTTTTAAACTCAGGATAGCTAAAACTATTCACCACCCCCTGCCACCTCAATCAAAAAACAACTGAACTTTAAAACTTAAATGATTAAATTGCCAAAAAAACATACGGGGCTCTATAACTAGTGGGTTTGGGAAAATGCCTTTCTTGAAAAATGATTTAAAGGAGAAAAGAACCAAACTACTTAATGAGAACTGGCTATCTTTAGTGAGTATAGAATGCCCACTTTCAGGGGAACAAATTAAAAACTGGAGATGGTAGAGAAGAAAATGAATCAAAAACTCTGTGGAAAAACATGATCAAATGCTCAGCTAGTTTCCCTAAAGAAATATCTACACTGCAAAACTTTGCTGCAGATCCCAGTTGTACACAATAATTTATTATTTGAGTTATCAGAAGCCATAATAGTTTACCTCAACTGACTGTGATTTTGCATCATGGCGATGAGGTGAGCGAGGGTAAATATCCAGAAGGTGAGGGGGGTCATCACTATGTATTCTTTGCATATGCTTTTTCAGAACTTTCTTATATTCAGATGCATCAAAATTTGTCTTCCAGAGCAGCACCTGTTAGACATTTGCTAATGTTTAGTTTATTTGTTCCATTTTTAAAATGCAGTCTTTTCATTTGGTAATTAAGCATTTAACTAAATATCCAGTTTTTAATAAAACAACAAGACATGCAGTACAATTTAAGTTTGCTGACAAAAAACTTCACAGACAAGTACTTGAAGAATTTAACACTTTTAACAAACCTGTGCATCTGTGCCACCAGAAGCAAATGTCTCTCCATCTTTTGAAAAGGCTACAGAGAGGACAGGACCCTAAAAAAGGAAAGAGAAAAATAAGATAAATATATTTTTAAAAGGCATAATGTTTTGCTTTTTTGATCATTTGTCCCTTTTTCTTCTTATTTAGTCATCCCTACACTGCTAATAAACAAGTAACGCATTAGTAATGGCTAAACATATTTAGGTAATGATGTGAAGCCATACATCAATTGGGCATGTTATGCATGCAGCATTTGTCCAATTTATATTTTTTGATTATGTGCCATCAAGTTGTTTTCGACTCTTAGCAACCACATAGATCGATTTTCTCCATGACAATCTATCCCTAACCTGTTCTTTCACATCTCCCAACGGTGCACTCATCGCCTTTGTAACTGAGTCCAGCCACCTTGCTGTTGGCTATCCTCTTCTTCTCTTTCTCAGCATGAGAACCTTTTACAGAGAGCTGGGTCTTCCCATAATGTGTCCGAAGTAGGATAATTTGATTGATATAGTCATAGTATAACTGCCACAAGTTTTCATTACAGTAACGTTATCATTCCATGCACAGAAATTATTTTTTGTGATGAAAAGCAGCTCTTAAAAACAAGACCAAAAGTAGGAGAGATTGTACCTCATGACCATGAAGTGTGTATAAGAGTTTTCCTCCTAAAAGATCCATAATCTTAAGAGTTCCATCACTAGATGCTGTTATGAGATAGTTGCCAGAAGGATGGAAAGATGTGTAGTTAACACTAGCTCTGTGAACTGATTTAAATAAAAATAGTTCAGATACTGATGCAAAGAAGAAAAACTCCAAAAGGACAACAACATAATAACATCACTGACCAACAACACAAACTTAATCATAATACTGAGAAGAATAACAATAAAGTTTACCTCCAGTGTATGGTGCATAGGGTTGTATCCTATGACTGATATTTTTAAAAAGCAGTTCTAATAAGTTTTTTTTTTTTTCAGATTTTAACTAGCTTTTATATTATTGTCTCTATCATTCTCTTCCAATGTTACCCTTAACAGATATGCAAACTGTTTTGAATTTGAAATGCCCCACAACTAGTTACAGTCATATCAAGGACTCTGTAACTGATTACACTTATAAAAGGGTATTCTGAATTCCATTTTCCCCATCCCTATTATCTCTGAATTGCTACAATAGCTTATTTTCACTGCTGTTGTTTTGTACTGCTCTGTGGTAATTATTTCGTTACATTTAAATAAGCAGGCTCCAATATTAGTTTTCCTGCTCTTCTTCATTACTGTTATTCACTAATCAATTCCTTTAATATTTACATTCCAGATCATTTGGTAGATTTTACTTTTGGAAGTGACAAATTCATTCAGTAATATAATGCTGCTTTTTATAGTACACATTGCAGGAATCCTAGGATTCCTGCAAACAGAATCATCAACATCCCACCAACATTTAAGAACATACAGAACCTGAGCCCCATGATGCACGCCAAGCTGCATACATAGCTATTTAAGCCATCTCATGTTTCTGCTGAGCAGGACCTTTTGAATCCAAGATATAAGGGACTAGACTTAGAATATTCACTAATTATTACAAAATGTTGCACAGTTAACCAGTCCCCAGACATGTTAAGACAGTCTCATTGGTATCTCTTTATGCTTCTTTTCTGCTGAGCACTTGAGCCACATCCTAGCACTAAGACAGGGTTATAAAATTTCACTTAACTCTTATTAAGAAATGACTAGAGAAAATTGCAAAAATAAAGTGAGGAATGGAGGAAGCTGCCAATGAAACCTCAAAGTTTGCAAAAGAAAGGTCAACATAATTTCCAAGGAAGAGAAAGAACTGTGTACTAAAATAGATACAATTGTGGTTGTAGGAGAAATGTTCATCTGAGATTTTCTGATCCATGTCAAAAGATCCAACACTGTGGCATTTAAAATTTTTTTTTTAACCTGCCTTTATTATTTTTATAAATAACTCAAGCTGGCGAACATACCTAATACTCCTTCCTCCTCCTATTTTCCCCACAACAAAAACCCTGTGAAGTGAGTTGGATTGAGAGAGAGAGACTGGCCCAAAGTCACCCAGCCAGCTTTCATGCCTAAGGTGGTACTAGAATTCATAGTCTCCTGTTTTCTAGCCTGGTGCCTTAACCACTAGATCACACTGGCTCTTCTTGGGGCATCATTAGAAAAAACACATACACTGAAGCATTTTAGATAAAGAATGGATAATTTATACAAGGAAGTAGAAGTAGCTGGAGTACTGGGTAAAAGAGATTAGATAATGATGCAGTTCTTGATTTTAAAGAAAACTAAAACTGAGTCTAGTCAAATACATTTATTGGATTAAAAAAAACCCAAAATGTATTTTAATACATTCAGAGAAATGGTAAGAGGAATTTCATGGCAGGAGAAACTAAAGGGGAAAAAAAAGCTCAAGATGAATGGGAGTTCCTAAAAAAGGAAGATACAGAAAGCACAACTACAAACAGAAGAACTGGGCAGGGCAGTAGGAAGCTTTTATCTGATGGTTTAAATGGCCCTTCCAACTCTGACTGCAATTTATACATAGTAT